CCCCCCCCCACCCGCTCTTTCTTTCTTTCTCGACCCCCCCCCTGTCTTTCTTTCTCGACGACGGCGTCCACCGCTTCGGTCGGTCTCGTCTAGTACAACCAAGACCCGCTGTGCAAGCTGTTGTCGGTAATCCTCGGCCTGCTAGGAGTTCGCGCGACGGTGGACCCTTCCGCCGCCGCCACCGCGACCAGCTCCGACGCCAAGAAGACCAAGTAGCTTAACGCTGGGGGCGTTTGGTTACATCACCTTGTAGACTATACGGGTGTCGAGAGCTGGAGGTTATTTTTTGGTGGCTTGCGTGCTTGCTGTCAACACAAGGCATTACTCCCTTTCTTTTCTCGCGTGCTCGCGCTCTGTCATTGCGTCGTCGGTCGCCAATTCCGGCCGACCGCTGTTTTTAGACGATGCCAGCACCGGTGCGGTGCGATGCAAATACATGCACTGCCAACGGCACCAGAGACGCGAGGGCGGGGCGCAGGCTTTTTTTCCCTTAGATTTTAATAATTTTTAGAAGTTTATTCTGCTGTGGTACATCTTATCCGTGGGGTGTGATTATTTTATACCACATCAGTGGGTGTGAAAAAGACAGCAGTCGTTGACAGAGGTTTGGGGAGATTGATTGTACCACCCGTTTTTTATGAAGGTAGGCCAGTGTATCCAGGTGTTCGCTCGTGCTTAAACCAGTTTTTGTAGGGGGTGCAGCGTGCCTTGATAAATGTACTGTTAGAACGACACGGTTGGCTTACCCGTCCCCCTTCTCTCTTCTTCATTTGCGCGCTGGTTTGTTTGTGTGCGGGGGGGGGGGGCGGCGTGAGCAGAGAAGAGGCGCCGGATTCATGTGTATGTAGTCTATCGATGTTTTATTTGTCTGGTGTTGCGTCGACCGCTGCCTTTCACGGCCATGCACACCTTTTGAGTGAGGGACATGCTGAATGCTGCACTCATTCGCGTTTCTGGGTTGGAACGGTGTGCCCCGACTATGTGCTGTAGTTAGCACGTGTCTACCCTTGTCTAGCTGCACAAGATGCAAAAGGTTTGAGATTCGTTCACCTCCACGACTCGGAAGCTTGGGTGGAGCCGAAGACGAGACGAGCTCACTTGTCGTACACAGGCTAGACGGGCTTAGGCTTCATTAAATACATGGACTCTTGTACCGAAAGAATCAGTACACCGATGTGAAACTGGTATTTTTGGACGTCGGTAAATGTTGGCGAAGATTTAGCGTCACATGCTTTGCTTCAGGGCCATGACGATGGGTCTGCAAAGCTTGCAGGGCACCGGAGGAAGCAGAGTGCCTGCGTAAACGCGTACAAAGGTCGGGGCCACGGGCGGGGCTGGGGCGAAAAGGTCCGCCGTGGGTGCGATAAAGATGAACCTTACATAGAATAGCAACGCCTTCTCCGTGTTTTCCTGGTCCCTCCTTCCGCGCTCTCTCGCGTCGCCCTGTTCAGGTCTCATCTCTGACGTATATGGAACTGCAACAACCATTCATCACCATCATCAACGCACCTCGCTAATTTGCAGCAATGGTAATAGCTAGCTCCTGTTGGAAATTATTTTTCGTTTTTCCCGGGCACTGCTGTTTACGCACGTCGTACGCATACGTGCTCAAGCAAGCATCTTGGTTGGAGTGTTGACCCACCGAGCTTTCGCTGCGCTTCATTCATACCATACCCCCCAACATCGACACTACTAGCCATACCTCTCTTCGTAGTTCTACCTCAGCAGAGCAGCCAAACATTGCGCCACCTCTCAACTCTGAAACCGATCATTCCTTTTCACCGCCGTTTCTTTCTCTCGGAGAAAGCTGCCACCCCGGAAAATAACCAGACAGAAAGCAATGTCGGAAGCGGCGAGGAGCTTCTGACAATGGGGAGAGAAATTGGCTTGGCCCGTGCTCTGGCAGACCAGCTGCGGACCGACCGGGAATCAATTCCACGGGCGTGCGCACGCCACATCACAATACAAACTCCCCGCGTCCTCATGCGCCGCTCTCGATGGACTACTCCCATCCTCTCGTGCCTCAAGACCGAGAGAACATGACACCCACAAGCAGTCGCGCAGGGCGTTTCTAGGTTGCCGCGCAAGGGTGGGCTACATAGTTCGCCAGCACAGCAATCCCGCGCCCCGTGGACCCCCGGCAGACCACGGCACAGCAGGGAGACCCCTTGTCACCACGCCACCACCTCCACAGCTACAACATTTTATCACCATCACCAAAGCACCTCGTATTCGTTCACGAATCACCAACAAAACCTCCCGCCCGCCACCCGCCGACAAAAAACCTGACGCCCTCAACTTCCAAGCAGCAGCCGAGCCAAGCCGCGCGACCGCCACCGCCGCTGGTTATTCTACATTTTCGTAGTTATTAGTTCCTGGGAACCATCTCGTACGACGGTGTTCGTGTCTCGACCCTAGCGCCGAACCCGGGCCCCAGCGACTCCCACCTCGCCCTCAGCCCAACCGCCGCCCTGGCCGACAGCGGCTGCTGCCCGCCGCCGCCGCCGCCGCCGCCGTCTTCCCGAGGTGACAACCTGCCGCCGCCGCCGCCGCCTCCGCCGCAACCCCACAAGCCCCCGTCCTCGTCCGGGTCCGATTCCGCCGGGCCCCACCTCCGTGCGCGGAGGATCGGCACCGCCGAGCCCATGGCCAGCACGTGCCAGGCCCCGTGCCAGAGGTGGTACCACCCCGCTGTCGCTGACGTCCCCTGGACGGCGAAGCAGGTCAGCCCCGCGGCGAAGCCCGCGACGCCCAGCCCGAGCTGCCGCCAGTCCAGCAGTCCCCACCTGACGGCGACCCGCCTCAGCGAGCGGAGGAGAGGGAATATTCGCCCCAGCCGTGTCGACGGGGGCGGCGGCGGCGGCGGCGGCGGCAATTCGTTGCTGCTAACGTCGGCGCCGGTCCACCCGCTCGACCCTCCCTCCCGCCTCGCGCCGCCGCGGCGGCTACCCCCGAGGCTGCGGGCTCGCGGTCGGGAGAGCACCGACAACGAGGAAGGGTTAGAGGGGATGAAGTCGTTGATGATGGTCGACGTATCCGTATTGTCGTGGCCGCCGCCGCCGCCGCCGCCGCCGGGACCACCACCGCGCAGCACGCGAGTGCCGGCCGTGTGCGAAGACGACTTAGCCTTGTCCCGCTCCACCAACCCTTGGTCTCCTGCCTGCCCCTCCCCCTCCTCCTCGTCGTCCTCCTCCCCGTGTTCTTTCCCCTCGTTCTGATCGCTGTCTCCTTGTTCCTCTTCTTCGCGAAAAGACCACCCGGAGGAAGGGGGAGCAGCCACCCCATGGTTGACAACCCCTCGTTTCGAGCCGCTGAGAGCGTTCTCCCGCCCCGCCCCTGCCGCCGTAGCATCTGCCGCACCAGCGCCCCTCCCTTCCTCTTCGTCCCAGTCTTCGTCAAGGGCAACGGCCGCCGCCGTCGCGGCCGCCGCCGCCGACCCCGCCGACTCCGCTCGCCAGTGCCCTTGCTGCTGCTGCAGCAGCAGCTGCTGCTGCTGCTCCTCCGCGAGCGCGCGCTCGCGCAAGTCCCGTCTGACGAGCCTGCCCCAGTTGGAGGCGAGCAGGCCGCTGCACATCGCGAACACCACGGCCAGGTTGGCGCCCGCAGTCGGGTGGTCGGTCACCCCGACCAACAGTGGGGGTATCAGGCACACGTACAGGGAGGCGAGGCGGGACCCCGCGCCGCTGCCGTCGGCTTCCTCCCCCGCCTTCGCCGGGTTTCCGACCTCGCTCCCGCCGCCGTCGCTCCCTCCCACCCACCCCCCTCCTGCTCCTATGCCCCCGCCCCCGGTACCCCCTCTCCTGTGCGCTCCGCTGCCGGCGGCGGGGCCGTCAACCGAAACGGAGGCCAGGCTTCCCCTCGAACTGCTCGCGACACCGCCGGCGTGGCTTCGGTTCCGGGGCCGGCTCCGACCGTGCGCGCCGCCGCCGCCGCCGCCGCCGCCGCCGCTCGACCTCCTCGGATAGTGCTGGTCCCTGTCTCCGAGCAGCATCACGCGGTCCGACGGCCCCTCCTGGCGGCCAGCGAACGCCCTGCCGCCGGCGCCGCTGTCTCCGTCATCGTCGTCGTCGTCGTCGTCCTTGCCCCTGCGTCTGTTGTTGTTGCTGCTACTACAGGTATTGTTCCCGTTGCCGTCGGCGCTCCCGCCGTCGCCCCCGGCGACGCCTCTGCTACGAAGGTGGTGAGAAGACCCGTCCTCGCTGCCGCTGCCGTCGCCGCCACCGCCGCCGGCAGACATCAAGTCGGCGGCCGCAGCCGCCGCGGAGGCGGCCGCTGCCATCGCCGCTGTGGCAGGGTTTGCGGAGACGACGGCGGAGTTTGAGGGCAGGGCGATCGTGGAGGCTAATGACGACGGCGGCGGCGAGCACACCAGAGGCTCGTCCCATGGCATGGGACAGAGGTGGAGCACCAGGGCCGCGACCGAGAAAAAGCTGAAGAAGAAGTCCAGCGCTTGGAGGGAGTGGAAGCTCAGCATACCCCCCGCACACGTCAGCTGGGAGGCAGGGAGGTGGGCGCATGGACGGGCACGAACAGGGTACCGAGGGGCGACCAAGGAAGATAAAGGTTGGGACGAACAAGTTAATCCAATGCGTCACGAAGTACTCGTTTCGTCGATCGCCTTCAGCCTTGGGGCTGCCGGCCAGCCCTGCCTACTCGAACGACCAAAACCGAGAGACCTTTGTAATAAATACTCGGAAGACACCACACTCGCCATAAAATAAAGACAATAATCCCTGCCAGCCGGCGTCAGCGTGAAGCCCACCCATAATACATACGGGGGATGGTCCTGTTACGGTTCACACGCTAGATACACGGGCAACGATCGCGGGACGACAAGACAAGACACACCGTCGACGGTACTCCCTCCGCACGGCGGTGCGCCACACTTTTCTCAGTCGCCTCAGCGTCATGCGCCGGCTGACTTGGAAACAAGCAAAGAGCACTCTGGGAGGTGGTGAACCAGAAGTTTCCAGATCGCACAAGCGCGCGCCGTTCTGTATGCGGCGGAAAGCTGAAGACTGTTTAAGCCTACATGCATCATGTGGAATACCACGGTAAAGTGTACGGCTGACTTGGGGCAACGAGCGAAGAGGGGAAAATCAAAGGTGGTAAAGCGCACACAGACCTACCTCGAGGTCACACATGTGGTAGAAGGCCGACGCCGCCCCGTTGAGCCCCAACACTACCGCCGGGGCCGCTCCCGTGGCTAGCCCCAGCCTCAAGGCCACCCGCACCGCGGGAACCACCGCCAGGTTCGACAGCACCAGCAGGCAAAACTGTAAGGAAGTGTCAAGGCAACAAGAGCAACAGCAAAGCAACGGCGGCGACAACAGCATCAGTCACGTGAGGCGAAGGTGAAAGAAGAAGCGGCGACGGGGGGGGGGGGGGTCACGGGGCTTCGAGGGGGAAAA